GTCACGTCAGAATGAGTGCAGGCACGAATGCGGGGCATTCCAGATCCGACCAAAGACCAAAGAGAAGTGGGAGATCCGAGGAGTGCGAACCTATTGACATTTTAGCAGAGTAACAATCGCTTCCCGTACCATGACACCTGCCTGTCATGAAACAGTCACCACTAGTAGTCATGTTTGCTTGTAAACACACCGTGACATCCGAATGCCCCTGGTAGGATAATAGTAAAGCTTGTATAGCAAGGCAGGGTCGGTGAGTCGGAGCTTTGTATAACCGTTTCTGATAGCGAGGCTTCTAGGTCTGAGCAAGACAGAGATAGCGAAGCTTCCATGTGTCCGGTCTGAGCAGGACAAAGAACACGTGCCAATTCTGGCTACTGCGCCAATCCCTCGTTCGGTTAATCCTGAGAACGGTTTTCACGGTCGGTGGGAAGAATTATGCTCCAGGCTCTCCGCAGAGACAAATATGGAGTTTTGGATATACGACTGAGCCAGACATCGAGATCCGAGTAACGTTGCGACATCCCACACTGTCCATACATATGCCTACGACCGGCGATAGCTGCATTCCGACCATACGGGAATACGTGGAAGCTCTAAGTCCAGCTCAAATATGATTCGACTCTCGAAACCACTGGACGGTCAGCAGTCTACAGCTTAGTAATCACTTTATTCCTGCTGCCTTGACGATGATTGAGGTCCATAGGCAGAGTGAGGGCCATTTGGTCAACAACTGCAATGCAGTACTGCTTGTCCCTCCAACCAGCTTCTAATTTACCCTGGCCAATTGCAGAAGGGGCAGTCCAGACTTCAACGCGAGCATTATGTCTTCCGTGGGGATCAGTCAAAAAACGTGATTCGCTATATAAGCCGACCGTTCGAGAAGCATAATCCTGAGATGAGGGAATACGGGCCTTGAATTCGACTGTCATGGTCACGGTCGGGAACCAACTAGAGAAGGGAGTCAACGCTACGCGACTAGAATACGGGACCGAACGAACCAATCTGATGTTCCGTGACTAGCTGGCTCTGAGTCAGGTAGGAGGGAAGGGAGATTGAGAAACATGTCCCCGAAAAATGGAATAGATGAAGGCTTTATTTCATCTTCTGGTCTGGTTAGCTCACACCATGCACCCCATTCGACGCCTCCTCCACCTATGATTTCAGTAACAACTCTGGTCTGGCTACGCATAGCATTGCACGCCAAAATGGTGTGGTCCATGGACCAACTCAGAAGAGAGTGGAACCTCCAGACATGCCTCATTCTATCTCGGACGGCCGCAGAAGGATGATCGTGCAGGGGTAGGCGTCGAGCATATGGAGATGGTGCTGCTAAACTGCGAGGAATTCCGCCCGGCACAGGAGTAAGATCACCAAAAATAAGATGGGATGTCAGTTTGGTGTGCCCCTGCCCACACGATTAACCACACGACAATCGCGGAGAGCGGGTGTGTCACTCACTCTCTGGACGAGATCCGCTAAAAGATTTGTAAAATTTTTCCCTATCTTCTGGACACTGACGCGCACTTCCGCAGGCCCAACATTCGTCGCGCGAAGAAAATGGGCGGTTACGTGGATGGGATCTTTATGTACTGTCTCCGATTGAAATCGAGTGCAAGCTTCCACGATCTGCCCCAATGTATAACCTGGCGAGATGTCTTGTTACCATAAAACGACCTTCGGAAAGCAACATGCATACCTCCTTGAGGAATTCTAAAGAACGATCGTGGCTCGCCTTCGCAATGAGCACACAACTAGATATAACCAAAAACTCACGACCCAATCACCCAACTACCATTTAGTTCCGTCACGTATGTAGCAGTTTCACTGCACCGCGAGGTTTCCGAAACGTATAAAGCTCGCACTAGGGGGACCATACAGTTTCGACGACTTGCAAAATAACAGTGAACGGTAGTCTCCCAAAGCCAGTCCGACTGCTATAGAGAATGACAAACGGGAACCAAACGATAACACACAAAGGTAACACAAAGACAATACTTTCAAGAGCATTGAAATCTTGCTATGTACTGTACTGACATGCACTCATGGGAACCATTGACTCGTCGAACTTCATCCTGTGGTATCCGCTATCATTGTTGTATACTCATGAAGCTCTCGACGAGTTGTCAAAGCCATGATGTACATATCGTAGGAAGCTAGAAAGAGGAAAATTAAAATCATGCAGTGAGCGGCGTCATTTGTCTGATGATTGCATTCATATTTGACGGTGCAACCGTCATATCACTCCTACCCATGTCATAATACCATAGATAAAGCTACATTCTATAGTTCCTCGGTAGTTCCACAATTTGATCGAATCCAGGATACTCAGGAAGGTTGAGCTGGAACTTCTCCTGCATTGCCCTGACAGCAAGTATGGACATGATGTCATTCCAGCATTTAACTTTTCAGCACTTACTTTGGCACGAAACGTCCTCCGAGGAAATGCCTTCCCTTGAAGTATTTCGCTCCTACCTTTGGTGCTGTCAAACTGATCAGGACGTCAGGATTCAGCCCGACGCCTTCTGCATTTCCGAGTTCGACATCCCATCCACTTGGAATATCTACCGAGACAATCGGGAGCCCGGATGCAGATATAAGCTTCAGTGCATCGTCAAACGGTGCCCGCACTGGCGGTTTGAACGAAAACCCAAAAATGGCGTCCAGAATAAGGTTCGAGGACTGGAGGAGGCGAGGCAGTTCCTCAGCAGATGCTGCAGGTGGAACGATGAGGATGTCCATATTAATACATTGTTTTTGCAGGCGCTACCAGTTCCGTTAAGATGCTGTATCAAATAGAGAACAACACTTCACGATGTGGACCAACCCTATAGATGTCTTTTGAGCCTGGCTGTTAGGGGTTACATTTCGGGACTGTTACTTCACCAGGTGGATGTGACTTACCTTGGGCATGTATATCGTTGGCTTGTAACCAAACATCCCTGAGAAAAATCAACACAGGAGCAAGGGGTGGGTCACTCTAAGAGCATACCAAGATGTCTAGCCGCAACTAATCCATCTCCTCCTTGGTTTCCTGGTCCACAACATACCAATACTTTCGGATACTTTTCCTTGCTGTACACTGTAGATAGCGTTTGGGCGCAGGCCAACCCAGCCAGCTCCATCAACTGCAACACGGGTCATGCTTGAGTATCGTGTGCTGATACAGGACTGAAGCCCCGTGCCTGATCCAAACTAAACGCCCCAACAGCATTCATAAGCTCCTCATCAATCTGTCCGTTACTCGCATGAGCTCGTAGTTAACACGCAACGATAATGAACGTTCTATGCACCTGTTGGGCCAGCTGCGCGGTAAGGTAACGGATGGACATACAGGCTGATTTCTAGAGGCAAGAGTCACGGTGGGAAGTTGAAATTCGCAGAAAGTCCAAATCCAAATATAATATTGAATAATCGATAAACAACATCAGTGATGGCAATTACAACAAGATGCAGACAATGAAAAATAATGACTGGCGTACAATAAAAATGCAGTAGACCACAGTACAACAACAGCAAGAATATTAACGTCTTTCGATGAAGAAAAAATCGAGAGCTTGTCCACGAGCTACAGTCAGATGATAGCAGCTGACTTAGCGCAAACCCGGCGATGCTCTTCCCAGTCCTTTTTTTGATGTTCAGGAGAACAGTACTTCACCAACCGGCACTTGCTACACACAAGTCCATTATTGTTCGGAGTATCCCCGCTGTCGGCGCTGCTCTGCGATCCTTCACTACTCTCGGCGTACTGCGATGTTTCTTCGTTGAAACAAATGCTACAGTCGATCCAGTTGCACATCTCCCGAGATCTCACCTTCCTCCCATTTCGACGACCGCGTTTTATCGACAATACCACTGCACCTTCAATGCCACGACGAGGAAAGCGTATCATTTCGCAGTCGTCGTTACAGCACGGGTTGGGACAACCACTAGGAAAGTCAAAAAATATTTCTTCTGATGGAACGAATAGTGGGTGTGTGAATAAAATTTGGGAATAGGAAGTGGTCTGATGGGAGAATAAGATGATGAAGGGCGGTCGTTTCTCGTGGAGAATGGCTCGGAAAGCGATATCAATCTGAGGAAAACATGGTGTACGTCGTTGTTTGAGGAGAGTATGGCTCAAACGCATATCTAGGACCCATAAATCAATGTCAACATGTAGACTGGTAACGGATTGATGGTCACAAACGATTGAACTGGATCTCGTTCTCCATGCTAGGTTTACACGTGCGCCCGAATGCATGTCGACAAACAAGGTTGAAGTATTCTGTTACATCGTCCATCTCTTGGCGTTTCATGTCTGTAACAATGATATATACATCGTCACAGCCAAGGTCGTGCATCCCTCTTAGCATCATCAGCTCAGGCAGCTAAGATTATCCTCAGTGACATTAATCAAGATCTAGCAGCTAAGTCCTTACCATAGTAAATACAACAGGCATCATGGACAATTTTCGGTCTTGCATTGACCTGTGGTGATATACATGTGTCGACCAGGTGCGATCCAGAGGAATCAGACGACCGGTGTCGACTGTACGACAGAAGATGTTTTCTGGAAGAAAATCTCCTTTATTCCAGACGAGGACTTGGCGTCTGAGAGAGTTTGCGGCATGCTTTCGCTCCCTGACACCTTGAAACCATTCCCAATATGCGTCATTGCGGTGCTCAAGCCACTTGTCGATTAACATGTCTGTAGCATCATGATCGAGCGTTTTGCATATCAGCTCGCTCATCGAGAGGGTGGGCTGCGATAGAGCCGAGTAATGCCTCTTCGCCATAGCTAAGCGTGGCACAACCTCGGATAGATTGCTCCACTGTCGTGAATGTAACGAAAGGAAGATAACCGGGATGATGATGGGCTACCCTGCAAGGGGCCTGTGAAAGAGATTGCTTACGGCAAGAAGCACGTACACGCCGGCCCTAACCCGTTCCAAACTGGATGGATGACTAAGAACTGTACATCAGTGGTACGTGATTGCCAAGCAAAATTACGTTCCGCTCAACATCCTCAACGTTTTAACGCTTCTAGTGCAGGACCATCAATTTGCTCGTGATCACTGGCAGTCCTTCGTGCAACTCGGACGGGCAGTTCACAATCTGGCATTCAACGTTAAACACCCGCAACTACCAATCATAGCTCAAAGTCACAGTGCTAAGTTCCAGAGCACGATAAGGAGAAATATATACCAGCCCGACTCCCTCCATAAAATGGTCACCAACTCTCGTTCCTAGTGACCAGCTGCATGACATGTTTTGGTATGCGTGCAGGTGCCATCTATGACGCCATTAGCGAAAACCTTAGGGAAACTGGCAATCACGAGTCTTACCTATAATGAGACGCAGGGGCGAAGTTTCTGAGAGACCCTCTCCTGCGGTAAGCAGAGCATCAAGCTTTTCGTGTTCTTCTACCTTCCTTCCACAAGTACCTTGCCATGTCACCACCGTCCGATATCGTGAGGGGAGATAACCATTACGAAAAACGTGGTTGGTGAGGTGGGCTATCATTTCGAGCTTTGCCTCCTGGGCATGGCAAAATTTAACGCGCTGCGTCACGGCGGGCGTCACATTCTTGTGGGTGTAAACATAACTGAACCACAAATAAGGTGGACAATCGGCTTCCCGGGGTAAGGGCCAACATTCGCGTCAAAAACTAATTACTCACCGATGACCAGCCTAAGAGCAGACTGGGGGCATTTGCCTGCACCTTCTGTCAGCAGCTCTTCCAGGGCATCACTTGGGTTGAGACGCTGCCCGCTGTGGTTCTCCCAATATGACAGCGACCGATGCTGGGCCTCGACGAATCCCTGACGGAATAAATGCTCGAGCACATCTTCCAAGTCAATTAACTTCTCGTTCTGAAACTCAAGTTCCACCAACTGAGTGGTCGCTGGCTTGTTGCAGCGCGATGCTTGGTGATAAGTTATCCATAGCTCGTTGTGGGTCATCATGAGCAAGCAGATAGAGAGGAAAAGTGAGAGTTGGGCAAATGGCTAAGGCTCGAGATACGAGCCACCTGCTTTTATATGGTTTTCTTTAGGCGTACTAAAGATTTTTAGTAAAAACTCTTCTGCCGCAAAAACATTCCTTCCGCAAAGCACCGACCATGAGTCTGCTATTTTACATCAGCAAAAGACCCATAATTTTCGCTTGTCAAAAAGAAGTTTGATGTTGGCCTATGGGCCATGGCGACGCGTTACTCACGTGCGGTCATGCTTGCCGTCAATACGTACGCCGTTAACTTCCCTTTCATATTTTTCGCGCAGAATCACACTAGAACGCAGCGTACTAGTAGCGTCGGTGTGCAGCCTTAATTAAGTTCTAGTACGCTTCAAATTAATGCTTTATGGGGGATAGTGTACTACCTTGTTCAGATAGAGCTCGGTATCATGGACTTGTTTGAGAGTCGTTGGTAGTACTGGCTCCTTGATGAAAATCTGGCTGTTTTCTCTTCCTTTGGCTTTCAACTGTTTGACAAATCGCCTTTGTCTAAGTCTTCGGCTTGGCTTGGTGCGTGTATGTTTCTAGCTTCATTTTCACTATGAGTACTGATCAAGTATCAACGGTCAGCAGATTCTAAAAGGACAAAACGTGCGAGTGATCTTCGGGCACCATGTGTGACAGTGCCACAAAGTTGCATCTTTGACAACGCTAGGGCTGGCTTAGTAGCCTTAGCCTTTAGGAAGGAGCGACTGTCTCCCTTTTGTTCGGTCTACTACATAGGGGAGACCAGGGTTTTACCGGACCTGTGACATCCAGTACGTTTATGCACCAGGTATGTTCACGCAATTTTCTTTGATAATAACCTTGTGATGACAGTGATGTCGACTGGATCCTATCTCTGTGTATGTTTTAGATCTTTCCGCGATGGTATCGAAGGCACGGATGTTTTGCTATCGGGTATATCTTTGTCCACTTCATATTCTCGCCTTATTTTCATCATGATCATGCACATGTATATACCCTGGGTAACACACTGTACCATCACCGAACTCAATAAACTTGTCTAGCAACAGGAACACTCAACCGGCTGGTTCATGTGCTGCACTCCCGAGTAGTCCGTAAGCGACGCATTGCTTCCTAAGGTAACGCGATGTAGCCAGCTAAGGTGGAGGATCGCCTACATTTCAAACGAGGGAAATCATTACTTCCCAAGTCTCCACATGCCATCCTTGACATTGACCAACCCTTCTCTTCGAGCAGCTTCCATGAAACTGCCAAGTTGTTCTACAGTGCGATCGTAGCCAGGTGCAAACTTGAGCATCGATTGTATTCGATCCAGCGGCAGCGAACCCAAGTTTGTAAGCATGCCCTCGATGAACTTTGTACCATTTTGCAGTAAGATCCACTGTGAGAAGTGTAAACGACAACAAAGCGTACCTTCCAGTACATTTTCATTTGTTCGGCCTGCTGCTGCTGCACGCTCATTACCGGTGGTAACTCCCCCGTTTCTGCTGTTGATTACAATAAGCAGCAAGGATATACTACGTTGAAAGATGAACGAACCAGGTTTAGGTGCTTGTGGTCTACTTCTTGATGTAGGACCCTCGGAAACACTAAGAAGCCGGAAAACACCCTCTGAGTCTTCTTTCAGAACATGCATGTCTGCCCAAGTAGCAAGGGCTTTGACAGCTGCATTTCGGTTGACGGAGCCGGATCGGAGGACCAGTTCATCTATCGTCCATACATCTATTGCAGGGTCAGTAGCGTCATGCGGCTTTGGATGTTCACTTACCCTTCTCAGAGAAGAGTTCGATGAATGCCGCTTCCAGAGGAGGTACGTCAGCCTCCAATGTCCTGTCTTCGAGTTCGAGTTGAAGATGAACGCGGCCAAGATGCGGTAACCAACGGAGGACCTTATCAGGTTTGAATACAGAGAACTCTTTGGCATATTGCTCTTGTAGGCTATACCGGTTCAGAAATAGCAGTAGTTACAGGAAAAGGACATACATCTGAAATTGCCCGGGCATGACCATGTCACTGGACTCAAGTGCGGGCCAGAAATGTCGAGATATAATCGTAGGGTGCATGGAACTCTGTGCTTGAAATAGTAGCACCGTACCTTGTCATGTATATAACAACTTACCGCTTTCTGTGATTGCACATGTTGGTCTATGCGACGTGAATCTGTCATATCTCGCAGCATGACTTCACAAACCTGCAACGCAGCTTCGCCAAATCTAATTTTTAAAATCTCGACATTACGACGCTGCATGGACCTTCTTAAGCATATTTACCATAGTCGGGAACTTGGGACTGACCTCACGGTCGAAATTTCCATCCTTCACCGCCAACAGGCGCTGGGCTAATAGTACTTGCAGTTCCTTGACGAACAGATCCTTCGTATCATATATGCTGACTATGGTACTGATAACGTCACTGGACTTGCTCGCGCGAAAATCCGGCCCAGCATCAATGGGTTCAGGATTCCACTCAGGATCAGAGTAGTTCTCCATCTCGGGTTGTTGAAGGGGCTGAATGGGATCGTTATCGTCGACAAGCGAGTCCCCACTCTCGCCGTCTCCAACCAAGCTTGCTACTATGCATCGTATGGTGTCAGGCCGATCTCTGACCAAACATGCAGATGTTATCGGTTATTCCCCAGTCCAACTTCGCGTGTACGCACCGGAGATACCTTCTTGTGGGATCAGCCACTTTAAAGAGGAGGACTCCAGGAGGATCGATGATTCTGAGACACTTGATCGTCGAGACATAATGCGTCAGAATATCTTTCGTATCTGCGCCCGGGTGAAGGAGTCGTTTATTGTTACTGAAAATTACAATCAGTTATTACTGCAGTTGACAATGATGGACGACGACGTACGCTTGCCGTAGTGCCTGTACGAGGTCCGCACGTTGGTCGACACGTGCCAAGCACTCCTGCATATAAAATAGAATATTAAGAATATATTGACCACAACATTCATACCAACCTTTAGGTCCTGGAGGGCGCCCGCAGAATCCGGGAAATCGACAATAATGTCAAAGATTTCCTTCGTCCTGCAAATGAAAATTTCGCAACTTAAGGCTGAAAATAAATAATCTTACCTTAGGTTGCAAAGCGTCTTATGCATGTGGAAATCAAACCTTGACCCTACGCCTTGCATCATTGTTTTAGCCTCGTCCGCTAAGATTTGTGAGTCAGAAGCTGGGATAACCGAATTATAAATCACCATTGGTTGCTCCTCTTGCAAACGGATACAGCATCCATGGCACAATCTTGTCGACCATCCAGGCCCGAAGGGTCGCAAGTACAGGTTCTGACCACTTTCCCGCACACGTTTCTTCCACATACGATTCGATGAATTCGTATCCTATACTTGCGATAAGGGTTTCGTAGCGGTCGATGAGGCTAAGAGTATCAAAGGCTTGCCACAGGACGCGGTCTTGAGGGTCCTGCGACTGGGATATAGTACGCTGCAGCGTGGCTGAAACAACAGCCTTAATTCCCCGAGCAAAAGATGGAGGAAGAACCGAAAAAACGTGAGTTTGGAACGCAAGAGTATAGGCGGATATCATTGTTGGTCCCAGACTAAGTTACATCAAATACATGTTAGCCTTGGTAAGGTGCATGGTACGTACTCTGCAGTTGGTTTCCACGCGCTGTACCACTCGACCAAACGATATACAAGTGAGCGTATTGCTTCTGGGTCGGAGTTACTCTGCAATGAAGCATTGAGCGACACGACAAATTGCAGGGGTGCAGAAACTTTGACCTCGTAAAGCGTCATATATGCCTCAACTTCTCGCGTGATCAAGTGTTGACTCTTCCGCATGTCCTCTTCATCCGTTAGAAAAAATGCGACATCATAATTTAGCAGTCTTACCAAGGAAAACCTCCATCATGACAGGCAACCTCCTGCACTCGCCGACAACGCCAAATGCCGCTCTGACTTTATTCAGGTCTGAACGAGATTCAGTAATAATACAGTGGAGTGCTCAAAATTACTGACCATATTGCTTGTGTGGCGTAGGGTCGCTCAAATCCCGCGGTTTAAGAAACTCTATTGCCAGAGTCCATGCCTGAACACGAAGTTAAAGCATATTTATACATATTACTTGTAATGACATACCTCGCTAAAAGTCATTAAACCAGATATTCCTGGCTCGTTGCGATTAAGGCGGTTGAAGGACTCTTGCCATTTGGCAGCAACTTGAGCTCGTACAGCAGCCGATGCCATCGCAGTTAAGTAGTGCTATGGCTTGTCCGAATGTCTAATGCAGTCTTCGGTTGGATTATGGGCGTAGTTATTTTGACGCGGTCCTGCCGCACCTGCCGCGGTCGTGACACGGCTGTGACGCGACGTGACGCGCATGTGACGCGGCACTAACGAGCGACGCAGCGTTCCTATGTGTTCTACATTCGACTTATCAAGTTGGATGAGCTCTGTTGTTATTTTATTTGCCATAGGGACATGTACAACTAAGTACATAAGCCAATGACTATTTTATTTTCCTCCCTCTCTGGACCTTTCGAGCCTGTGGAGCACATCGACGTTTAACGGGCGGACGTTCTTCAGCCGGCAGAGAAGGAACTACAGCTTCGGATAACTCGTCTGCAGACTCAAAGATGTAGCATCAGAGTTATCACTGAATAAGGGCCGTACTGTCAATCACAAAGTTAGATATCTAGTATCGAAACGGAGCAGGTAATGTCTTCCTCACTTCGAGTTCACTCTCGCTATAATCTCCTCCAGAAACTCATTCATCAGGAATGCCGAGATACACATTCCATCGTCGGTGATGTTGGCCAGCATCCAAACCCCACTGCTGCTTGCCTGCAGGTCATGCTTCTTCGGAATCCTTGAACATCCTTACTTCTAGTGCGGTCAGACACTCGAGGTCGACGTCAGCCACGAAGCTGGATACCTTATCATGAGATCAGCCCAAGCCATCTTCAACAGCATGCTGTCGTTCCATTCTTCGTTTCGAGCTTTGATCCGTTTTTCGAAATCGCTGGCTTTTCGATGAGCAACGAGAGTGAAAGCATGCACCAAAGGCATACCACCAAGCCATTTTTCGACTTGACCGGAAGCACTAGGAACATTCTCCGAGAACCAACGTGCATACTCATGAGATGAGATGTCGCCACAAAACGGCATTCTGTATGCACCCACACCATCTGGCTTCTTCTTTGATCGCAAGATGTAGTCTATCACGGGGTATGCCTCCGCACTATATTGGTTCAAGTCCGGACTGTCAAGGAGCTTTTGAAGCGAAGTCGTCCAATCATTTTGATACTTCCGCTGACATAAAGTTTTGAATCCAGTCTTCTTCGTGAGGCGTATCCCAAGAGTGGATCCACTCTAGTCACTGCTTCGAATTGAGAATACAAAACATATCCTGGATGGTTCTTCTGGAATTCTGCAAAGTCATCAACGAAGTTCCGAGTGGACTTGCCCCGGAGTACTTGCAGCTCGGCCAGTCCTGGTTGAGAAGCACTGTGGAGGTCGTTGTAACAGATTCACGGGTACCAGTAAGGCTGTTACGACCAGCAATTAATGCCGCAGGGTCAGCAGCACGATTTTCAAAGACAATTTATTCAAATCTTGTCCGCTCGTCACGAGATAGATGCAAGATGTGAGTTTTTTTTGGATGGTGGTGAATGCCCTTGTGAATGCAGTAAACGCCTCCTTTGAATGAATACAACACTGATGTGACGCCGCAGTCGATATGCTTAAGCTGACTACCAACTACATCATGTAGTAGTGCAGAGTGAAAGGACGCGGATACGAAAATAGTCAGCAACATCGGGTTGACGAGTGTGGTAAAAGACAGGAACAAGAAATACTGGAGGCGTATTATATTCGCCTATCAATAACTCCAAACCCCTACCTCCCCCGCACAACTTCATAACATGAAAAACGTTACAAAGCCAAATACAATCGCAATAGTTAGCCACATGACCAACGACGAAGACTTTTCAAATCTGTGTTGCATTGCCAGCCTCGCAACAACCAGCTGGGAGGGAGGGCCTTTAGCACCGGCGTCATCGATGGCAGCAATTTCTTCAGCAGTGAGTGGGGCTTCATGATCTGAATTAGATCAACGTCACATTTCATGGTTCAAAACATACGAAGATCTTCAACAGCGAGGTACTCTTGAAGGCGTTCCTTGCTCCGGGTCGTGCTTCGGTGATGGAAGTGAAGTGAGACACGAAAATTACATAGAAAGTAAATGTACATACGTGACGATTGTTACACCTTTACTTCTGACCCAGGAGAAAATCACTTGGTTCGGAGTTGCGCCTATGCGTTTAGCAGCGGCGTTAACGACCGCATCCACTGGTCCTCCAGGATTCTGCGTAATAGAACTGGCCATGCAGATTTGGAGCGGTGAATTATTCGGAGCAGTTTGAGGACTTACTTCAAACTTCCATAAGCTTCCACTATGATGTTCTGTTTTGAGCAGTATTCAAGCAAAGCTTTGTGTGACACATAGTTGTATGGGTGGAATCGGATCTGCTCGATAAAGTCCATTGGCTGTACTGGGAATAAGTAGACGGATGTACTTGGTTAACGGCAGGTTTCGTGACCGCAGTCTTGAGAAGTTTCTGGAGGTCCTCTACGGTAAAGTTGCTGACGCCAATGCTCCTGAAAACTATGAAAACCAGGGAGACACGTTCGAGTCGGAACGGACACACCTTGTTAATCCATCCTTCTTCATCTTTTCAAACTCTTGCCACACAGACTCAGAAAAGACCCCCGGGAAGTGCACCAGATACAAATCAACATAAGAGATACCAATCTCAACGAGCATATCATTGAGTTGTCCGGTTTGTTGAGGTGAGCAATATGTAATTGCTGACCTTGTTCAGACTTTGGTGAATAGCTTGCTGTGATTTCCCAGGACCACTGTATTTGGTGGTGATATACAGGCTCGAGCGAGGAAGACCGCTCTCCTTGATAGCCAGGCCCACGTAGGTTTCTGTCTGATAAACTTTATACGAGAACAAATTTTGGGACATGAGGTTCTTTTCATCGTTGCGATTGGAACTTAGAAGTAACATACACTGTGCGGTGTCGATATGAGAAAATCCATTCTCGATAGCCTGGCCCACGTAGTCTGTGACATCCTTGAATTTCATGGTGGACCCTGTGCCGAAGGCTATTGTGGGGAACTAGGACGTAGCACAGAACATATCAAGTCTTGGCATGGTAATGAAAACTTTCATGAAATATTACGATACCTCATTTCCATCGTTAAGGGTGACAGTACCAAATGGCATAGCTGGGAGTAGATAGTGAGGGAAGTGTGATGGTCATGAGAGCATGATAGAAGTTCGAAGACATCCCAGCATCCGATTCCGATTCCGAATCTTATGATTACAGCTGTTTTCAAATTTGTCTTGAAATGCTCTGAGCACGGGGAAATTAGGACCTTTTGTTAGACTTTATCTTCCGGACCGCATGACAATGGAGGGCCCCGTTACGCCATTCGTCCCGTTCTCTCCAGAGCTAGACATAGTGACGGAAGACCAACATACGCATTCACCAGTGCGAAAGCGAGCGCGTCATACTGGCAACATCAGCAACACAGCATCCGAGTCTGGACAATCTCCTGTCATGGTTTTGGAGGAATCGAAGGCTCCCATGAGGGACGATACATACTACATGGCTGATGGGAGCTGCATTCTTCGTGTGCAGAACACGTTATTCAAAGTATGATCTGAAGTGAGGTTCATGCCCACGAACTGAATGATTTGTGCTGTATTAGGTCCATCGCACAATCTTGTCCAAGGATCAGTCATCCTTCGGGCCTATGTTTACACTCCCACAAGGTGAATTCGGGGAAGAAGGGATGTTAGATGATCATCCCATCGTTCTGCAGGGAGATACTACGGAGGAGTTCAGACATTTCCTCTGGGCACTCTATGCCCTGTGAGTGTCATTTAAGTGTCTGCAAGTTCCATCTTTCTCATACTCGAGTCTTGGCTCATAACAGACCCTCAGAACTAATGATAGTCCAGTCTCCAAAAGCCGATCTCAGCCGACTAATAGACATCGCGAAGGTGTCCAGCAAGTACTCTTTCAAGTCGACAGAAACATGGGCATTGGACGCAATCCAAGAGTACCTTGAACGGAACACATCCCCCTTCTTCAACGACAACCCTCTAATTCGCATGTTCCCTACTTTAAACACTCGCTCTTCGGCTCTTTTGGAAAGTGAAGGTCAAATTGCTCGCTTGATCAGACTTGCTCAGATGTGTTCGCACTCACGTCTGATGGACACGATGATTCAACTTCTTCAAAAGCTAATGTCTGGTTCTTTGCATTATTCATATCTGGCCATGACCCTCGCGGATGAGTTTAACCTTAGGGACCTGCGAGGCGCGGCGTATCTCGAAGTCATGCAAACGTCGGTCTTTGTTTGCCCTGGAGTGGCTAATGATCACACATACGTGGAGGGTGACATTCAGGAAACGAGTGAGGGGCCGCAGCGGCTGGTGGTCAGCCCGGTGCAGCAGCTGAGACTTCTGTCGGGATACCACCGCCTTTCTAAGGCATGGGACAGATTGCGTGCTGTCCCTCCGCAGTTCGAACACTCGCCGTCCTGCGGTGCGACGTGGCACCAACATGGATGCACTCAGAGCTGGACAGATTTTTGGAAGGAGAAGACAAGGTCAGAAGGCGTGCTATCTCTCGGCTGCGCAAATGTCCTCGGGAGATTGGGCATCATTATCAAGGAGTTTGACAAGTGGGGATCTGCAACATATATGCACCACGATTGCAAGTCTGCGGCAAGACGGTCTATCCACGAGAAGGTGAAGCAAATGCAGCAAGCGTTGCCGGATTATTTTACAGAAGGTGGTGAATATTAATGTCCATCCGACTCGATAGAATACATTCCATACGTACTACTGCTAGATATTGTACTTGTACAAATTTTTGTTGTTGAGTAAGCAGGTTCGTCAATAGAGTAGAAACGGCCACCACATAAGTTCAGGTTTGCCCTAGTCGCCCTTTCCCGGCAGCGGTCCTCATACTGCTGGAAGTGGAAGTCGCATGAGTAGTGTTGCGCCTATTCCAAGGACCATCTTGTATGTGGCTTGCTTCGTTTCCTATCGAGGTGCCCATCATGTTCTGTATCAAGTTCTCCACGTTGTCAGCTGAAGGTAGTTGTTCCTTTCCAATCTGAGAACCGTTTATGACTGCTTGCTGAAATGTTTCATCCTCCTCTAGCTGCTGAACACGCTGCCGGAAGCCACGTAATATTTCCTCAAACAGCACTAGCTGGGACGATCAGCAAAGGAACTAGCGAAACGAGGATGAAGTTTAACACACGCTTCTGTTCTTGCGGATCGCTAGGATAAATGATCAAGGGATCTTTCAAGTTATGGACTTCATCATGTTTCGGTTCATCAAGTCGAAGGTTGGCGATCCACTTTCGCTCGAAAACATCCTGATTCAATCCCGAGTCAGATAGAGACGTGTCATCGGGCCCGTATGCGGTTCCCACAGAACTTGCAGGAGAAGGAGGACGAATTACAGGAGAAGCATATGCAGGGTCGCCAGCATGAATCTGTTGAGTGTGTGGCATCACAAACCCTGGGCGGTATGAATGAGTCAGAACAAAGTCGGACCCTAATAACTCGGATACTCGCACAAGCAAGCCAAAATAACACGGTACGCGATTTTCGTTGATTAGCGTGTCTAACTAGTGTGACATTTTAAGTAAATGTGCCAGAAACTCTTTATCTTCAGTCTCGTTTCACACTTTGATCTATGCACGCACGTACATGCCAGCCTGAACGTTTTGAATGCCACAGTAGAAGAAGAGCTCATATTTACATTGAATTGAATTTACATTCGTTCAATTCTTGTTTGCTGGATGCGCGCTATATATGCGTGACGGATTCTATCCTATCTGGGTTGTTTGGCTGAGTAATGCACACGCCACTTAAATTCTTCGCGACGCGTCTTTCCTCTCCTTCATCTCGCCCACTAGTTTTTTCTGCTATTTTCCTCCTGCTTGATTTCAATCTTTGAGGAGCAACTTACCATGGCTTTCGTGTTCAAAAGAGGTCAGTTGTCCCTGAGTTTGGTGTACGGCAGCTGATCTGTGTGTTCCTCTGCACAGATGGGTAAGCAAACGCACGCCGAGAACATTCGTTTTAACACCATCTAACGCGTTATTCACGTGTAGTCGCAAAGAGGACGTTAAATTTGACAAGGTATATCCCCACTAAGCTGTATAGTGCGTCGCTCACTCCTTGGGTAGATCACAGCAAGGATAAACAAGCTTTGTTATGGCCTTGACCTTAACTATGTCGAGCCGATCGAGTTAGTTGGCAGCTTTGTCACTCTCGTGTATCTAATTGCTCTGCAGGGTTGCCAAAAAAGTCATCACAGGTGTATACCAAGGCGTCACAACCGTTGAACTCGATGTGGGTGTCTATGATGTTTTGCCTTGTTCACTTATTGACCTGAGATAGAACCTTGCCGCTGAGACGGCAGCCTATCTTACTACGAAGCACCCTGACTACGCTGTACTCGCTGCGCGTATTGCAATATCAAATCTCCATAAGGAAACCAAGAAGAACTTCTCCACTGTGGTGAAGGACCTCTACGAATACAGTGTGTTTCCACATCTTTAGTGTTCGATTTGTATTTGACTTTTCATCGTCAAGTTAATCCTAAGAATGGAAAATCTGCTAGTTTGATAGCCGATGATGTATATGAGGTTGTGCAAAAGAATGCTGCTCGTCTTGATTCTGCAATCATCTATGACCGTGACTTCAGTTACAACTAGTGAGCACGATCATCAAGATGTACGATGATATTGTACTGATCCTTTTTCAGCTTCGGCTTCAAGACTCTGGAGCGGTCGTATCTTCTGAGGATCAATGGTCGTGTTGCCGAACGTCCCCAACATATGATCATGCGTGTTGCTGTGGGTATTCACAAGAGCGATATTGAAAGCGTGATCGAGACGTACAACCTTATGTCTGAACGATTCTTCACGCATGCGTCACCAACTCTGTTCAATGCTGGCACTCCTCATCCCCAACTCAGCTCATGCTTCTTGGTGTGCATGAAAGATGACTCCATAGAGGGTATCTACGATACCCTCAAGACTTGTGCCATGATCAGTAAGACCGCAGGTGGAATCGGCTTGAGTATTCATTGTATTCGTGCTACTGGGTGCGTTAAATTAATTCATGGCATTGCTCAATTAGTAACATTTTACCTTATAGCTCGTACATTGCTGGAACAAACGGCTACTCGAACGGCATTGTTCCTATGCTTCGTGCATATGATGCCACGGCACGCTATGTCGATCAAGGCGGCAACAAGCGACCGGGAGCTTTCGCGATTTACCTTGAACCATGGCACCCTGACATTTTCGATTTCCTCGATCTGAGGAAGAACCATGGTAAAGAAGAGTCGCGCGCCCGTGACTTGTTCTACGCACTGTGGATTTGTGATCTGTTGTATGTGTTCGGCCGTAATCTCGTAGCCACCCTAACTTTTCCTTATCAGCATGAAACGCGTCGAATCCAATGAAAATTGGTCGCTGTTCTGCCCAAACGAAGCGCCTGGTCTTCACGAGGTTCATGGCGAGGAATTTGAGGCTCTATATGAGAAGTACGAGATAGAGGGACGCGCACAGAAGGTCATTCCAGCTCAAAAGCTGTGGTATGCTATCCTTGAAGCTCAGATTGAGACTGGTGGTCCTTTCATGGTCTACAAAGATTCCGCCAACCGTGCGTCGAATGACTTCGTGGCACTTTCCTTGCTCACAATCATCCGTAGGCAAATCGAACCAAAAGAACTTGGGTACCATCAAGTCGTCCAACTTGTGTACTGAAATCATAGAGTACTCGTCGCCGGAGGAAACCGCCGTCTGTAACCTTGCCTCTCTTGCTCTCCCTACTTTCATCTCGAATGGCAAGTACGATTTCCAAAAGCTTCATGATGTCGCGAAGGTCGTCACCCGCAACCTTAACCGCATCATCGATGTAAATTACTACCCCGTTCCGGAGGCTCGCACTTCCAACATGCGCCATCGTCCCATTGGTCTTGGTGTCCAGGGTCTCGCAGATGCTTTCATGATTCTCCGTCTACCATTTGACTCACCGGAGGCAAGGCAACTCAATCTTCAGATCTTTGAGACCATCTATCATGCTGGACTCGAGGCCAGTTGTGAGGAAGCTGAAAGGGATGGACCATACGAGACTTTCAGGGGTAGTCCCGCCGATCTCGGTCAACTGCAGTATGATCTCTGGGGTGTCACTCCCACTGACCTTTGGGATTGGACCAGTCTCAAGGAAAGAATCGCACAAACTGGATTGCGGAACTCATTGTTGGTTGCACCCATGCCAACTGCATCAACTAGTCAAATTCTTGGTTTCAATGAATGTTTCGAGCCCTATACCAGGTACGTTTGACCTCCTTGTCACGTTGTGCAAGCTGACGCGTTTGATCAGTAATATCTACACTCGTCGTGTCCTTGCTGGTGAATTCCAGGTTGTGTGTCCCTGGTTGCTCAGGGACCTTGTCGACCGTGGGCTCTGGAATGACGACATGAAGAACATGATCATTGCTCATAATGGCTCCGTTGCCAACATCCCCAGCATACCAAATGATATTAAAGCCATTTACAAAACCGTTTGGGAGATCTCACAGAAGAAGGTCATCGACCTCGCTGCTGACCGTGGAGCATTCATTTGTCAGAGTCAGAGTTTGAACATTCACTTGCAGTCGCCTACTGTAGGCCAACTGACTAGTATGCACTTCTATGGTTGGAAGAAGGGCCTCAAGACTGGCATGTACTACTTACGTACTCGTCCGGCGGCGCAAGCCGTTCAGTTCACTATCGACCAGAGCGTGCTCAAAGCAGCCAAGGTGCAACAGGGCGAATCCGGCAAGCCTGCCACTGGAATTCCTACCCCTTCCGCCTCTCCATCTCCTCTTCGCCGAGTCCCTCCACCATCTAATTCGAATGACAACGGTGTTGCACCGAGTTCGTCGGGCCCCAGTGAAGCTACTGATGTTGACCCCGAGTACGCCGCTGCCCTTGAGCGTCAAAGGGAGCGTGAGCTCGAAGAGGCAAAAATGCTGTGCTCGCTGGAGAACAAAGAAGCCTGCCTTATGTGCTCTGGTTAACGGAAGTGGTATGTTGTTGGCGTGGTCGGTATTTATTTGCATCGTCGGAAGTTATTCAATCATGCATTCCTTGTCCTTTGTTACTCACATCTGTTCTCATTTCTCGGCACGATTGTATACCAGCTGTTGTAATTGTAATGAAATAGATGGATTCCGGTCCGTCCCCGATCTGACAATAAGGATATACGCGTACACTAGTGACAGAAACTATAAACATATACAAGGAAAACGATAATGTAAATAACAGGGTAGCGTCCTATGCATATGTTGGATAACACAACACCAACCTCCAAAACGGTAACAATACATACACTGACGATGAGGCCACAATTATAGTCGATTGACAGTCAGGATCGCAATGCGTCCATCTTGTGCAATGGCATGATTGATTCCTGAATAGCAAGTCAAGAATGACCACGCAGTGGAAAGGAAGCTGCTGACCTCTGTATCCTGGTTCAAGGAGGCCACTCCGCCACTCCACATCAGCCTGCCACCACCTGCCATTCCAATGGCTGACAGATGCGGCGGCTTCGACGAGAAAATCACGACCGATGTTATACCCGTTCGGGATTATCATATGGTTTTTAGTAGAGTCCTGCCAGAAATGAATATGGTTCCCAATTTCTACTCGCGTTCTACTCACCATTTCCTTGGAGACACTGGGAATGGAGTATTAGTAGTCACAGCTGAAAACGAGGAGTTGGCGCTTACGCCAAAAACCATGCTCCTGTATCAATTTCTGAGCCATTCTGCTTCCAAGCGCGGAAGTGGTTTCCTCCTAAACACTGAATCACGAAAGATTCACGAAACGTGGAGGAAGACGAACCTGCTATACTTTCCCAGCATGTTCCCCACTTAGGGAAGTAGTATTGCCTTGCTAGAATATGCTCGGATTTCTTGCTATCGCCGTCACCGAGGTCTGCCTTGTGGACATGA